AATAAAAAAAGAAAAGAAAAAATACATTTTGTTTTCTTTCTTTGTTTTCCAAAAACGTGTGGCAACAAATGAGATCTGCAAAATACTCCCATGCCACTTAGAAAATACCCTGGAGTGTCTACTTTCCAAAAAGGGGTCATTTGGGGGGGAGGGTGCTTCTACTATCCTGGTGTTTCAGGGCCAACATTAGAAGCTTCTGCCACATATCACCCACTCTTCTAACCACTTGAAGACTAAGACTTTTCTGACACTTTCTGTTCACATGAAAAAAACATTTTTTTGGTAGAAAATTACTTTGAACCCTCAAACATTATATATTTTGTATTTTTTTTTTTCATTATTTATTTTGCTTTTTTATTTTTACACTGTCCCTTTTAAAAGCCTGTAGCTGCAGCCATCATCCTTGTATATCTACTCAAAGTCCAGCAATGTACCAATATGTTGCTGGTCCTTGTTGGGCATATACAGTCATTGCCAAAAATGTTGGCGTCTCTGCATTTCTGTCAGAAAATGTATCACTTTTATAATTTTTTTTTTATTTTCATCAGAGTAGTTCAATGTTACCATAGTATCATTGTACTACTCTGGAGGGGTGATCTGGGATTTGAATAAATCAATAAAGATTTATTGCTTTGCTTTGAACTGTCATGAATGGGTTAAGTTCATGACAGTTCAAAATACTAGTGATGTGTGATTGGCTACAGGTGATCACATGGTACAGGGTACTATGATTGACCAATGGACCATGTGAGAGCTATGGCAAATCAAAGCTCACTAGGAAAGGAAGCAAAGCTGTTATGACTCATATTGTTTCATAATAGCTTTGCTGACATTGTGATCATGTGATCGCTATTTGATCACATGACCACCAGTTACCATTTACCAGGATCCGCATTCCACTGTGTCCAGCCCCAGTGAGGGAGGAAGCACGCTGCACCCCCTGTGTTAGTTCAGCAAGAGTAATATACCAGTACGTTGCTCTGCCTGTAGCTGCCTCCCGTCCACAGTACATTGCAGACAGGCGGTCTTTAGGTGGTTAAATTCTTTTTTTTTTCTCATTAATCTACACTCAGTATCCCATAATGACAAAGTGAAAACAACATTTTTGAAATTTATGTGAATTTTTTAAAAACAAAAAAAACAAAAATAGCACATGTACTTTGTTGAAGCACCTTGGGCAGCAATTACAACCTCAAAATTTTTTGGGTATGACGCGACAAGTTTTGCACACCTGGATTTGGGGGATTTTCTGCCATTTTCTTTGTAAATCCTTCCAAGCTCAGTCAGATTGGATGGGGACCGTTGGTGGACAGCCATTTTCAGGCTTCTTCAGGAATGTCCAATAGGGTTAAAAACAGGGCTCTGGCTTGGCCACTCTAGGACATTCCCGGAGTTGTCCCTAAGCCACTCCTGTTTTGTCTTGGCTGTGTGCTTAGGATTGTTGTCATGTTGTAAGGTGAACCTTCAGCCCAGTCTGAGGTCCTGAGCCCTGTGGAACAGGTATTCATTGAAGATATCTCTGTACTTTTCTCCATCCAGTTTTTCCCCAACCCTGACCTAGTCTGTGATGCTGAAAAACACCCCCACAGCATGATGCTGCCACCACCATGCAGTGCCTGGTTTCCTCCAGACATACCATTTAGAATTGAGACCAAACAGTTCATTCTTGGTTTAATGAGACCAGAGAATCTTGTTCCTCACAATCTGAGAGTCCTTCAGTTGCTTTTTTGCAAACTCCAAGCAGGCTTTTATGTGTTTTGTACTGAGGAGAGGCTTCCATCTAGCCACTCTGCCATAAAGCCCAGATCAGTGGAGAACTGCAGTGATGGTTGCCCTTCTGGAACTTTGTCCCATTTCCACACAGGATCTCTGGAGCTCCGTCAGAATGACCATGGAGTACTTGGTCACCTCTCTTACTACAGCCCTTCCCCCCTGATTGCTCAGTTTGTGTGGGCAACCAGCTCTGGGAAAAGTCCTGGCTGTGCCAAACGTCTTCCATTTGAGATTTTGGTTTCTTTTTAAAAAAGAGGAAGAGCAGGGAGAAAAAGAAAAAGAGAAAAGAGAAAAAAAGAAGGGGGGACCCCTTCCTCACAGACTTCTTATCTCTGTTCCCCATGTTCAAATATGGTAGAAAGCTAGGTCAAGGGTAGAGTCTTAAAATAAACAAGGTACAAAAAATCCTTCCAAGCCTCCCATTTGGTTATAAATTTAGGGTATTTCACCTGTAAGCCTGCTGTCAGTTCCTCCATATGCATAATATAATTCAATTCAGACATCCATTCTTTAATACTAGAGGTATGCCATTAGAATTTCAATGTCTAATTATAGTCCTGTCTGCAGCAAAAATAAAGCATGTTAAACTCTTTTTGACCATCTATGGTGATCCTGGAAAGATAGAAAGTAAGGCCACTTCCATATGAGAATTGTGGAGGCCACTGTGCTCTGGGGAACCTTCAGTGTCGGAGAAATTTTTGTGGCCTTGCCCAGGTCTGTGCCTTCCACTAAACCTGTATCTGAGCTCTGCAGGCAGTTCCTTTGAATTCATGGCTTTTGCTCTGATACAGTATGCATTGCCAGCGGTGAGGTATTTTATAAAGAGGTGTGTGCCTTTCCAAATCATGTCTGATCAATTTAATTTACTACAGGAGGCTCCAATCATGGTGTAGAAACATATCAACAACAATCAAGAGAAATGGAAGGCACCATTCAAGCAATTTCAAGCATAGTTGCAAAGGGTCTGAATACTTATGTGATATTTCAGTTCATCTTTTTTCATACATACATTTGCAAACATTTCTAAAATTCTGTTTTCACCTGTCATTATGGGGTACTGAGTGTAGATTAATAAAAAAAATGAATTTAAACTGTAGTATCAGGCTGCAACATAACAAAATTGAAAAAAGTTAAGGAGGTCTGAATACTTTATGAATTCACTATACAGTATATATACTGTATATGCAAACCTACACAGCATGGTACCATCTCTATCATTCCACTATTTGCAACAGAAACATTTCAATTTATCAATAGAAACAAGCTTACTAGAGTAATATGAAGAACAATCCTAATGTGTGGGTGAAAAAGTAACATTTTTGCCCAACAATGAGGCACAGTACAACAAATTTGACTCTTTTATGGAAACACTTTGTGGAATCATCTGAAAACTGACTTGTTTCCAAGCTGAATCAGCTCGGTTTGCCCCAGATGGAGGTTTTTTTTTTTTGGTTGTCTGACAGCTTAATAATAACAATACGAAACCAGCATGTGATATAAAAGCAGTTTGGCACTGTCATCCTAAAATTCTGCTAGATTACTCCCAAAAACACAAAGAAAATGCCTAAAAAATATATTTTTAAAAAGTTATTTATAAATAAAATATTAGAGGGGGTGGAATTTCCCCTCCTTGGAGCATCTGTGTGTCAGATAAATGTTATTTTAAGTGCAAATCGCTACTTAAGTTTGGACACAAAGCGCATATTTTGGAAAGCAGCTAAAGCAGATTCACGCTCTACAATTTTTTTTCCCCTAATCTGACTGACTCACAGCCTTGTGATAGTGAGATAAGCCAGGTAGGCAAGTTTTTATAGAGTTGCAATTACTGAAATTGTCATTACGCTGCTCACTGTAAAATAAATACAGATAGAAGTAAAATTATGCACAGTCTAGAAGTAGAAAGTGTTTTGCTTCTGTTTGCTAAATTAATCTCTTCCTAAATGGCTCCAGGCCAGGTAGGTTAGCATTTGTGGTTTCAAAGGTTTTCAGAGCTTGCAATGAGCCATGAAATTACTGCATGCAGCTGAAAATGGCAGCTGATGAAAGAGAAAGAGCGAATCCCAAAGGCAGCTCGACAGGAGGAAGCCGAGGAACCGGCTGAAAGTCTCATTTTTGATGTTGCTCATTGTGAAATGTACACCCAAACTTTCAATAAAAACAGAGAACCTTAATAAACCTGCTAACAATTCCGTCCAATTTTTTTTTTTCTTTCTTTTTTTTTCTTTTCTTTTTTTTTTTTTTTTGAAGTTTCGATGTAATTTATCTCTCGCTATTAAAATAAGCAACAATCCAATGATTTTGTCGATTGAGGCGCAGCTTCTTTAATTCATTGCTACGTTGTATTACACTTGTGTACTTGACTTGTGATCCTACCAATCAGATTTTACTTGATGTTTTGTAATTGAATTTGTGCGGAGGATTGATGTCTTTCATTAAGTAATTGACCCTGTAGTATTATTGTGATTTTTTTTTTATTGTTTACATTGTGTTAATGCTATGTATTTAAGGAAAGCTTTATTTTTAACCTAATTTATCATTGTTTCCCTAATGTGTTTTGCAGAATTTTTTTTACTGGTCCTTTGTGCACATCATCTTTCCTATTGTCGTAGGTCATGTTACCTCTTTTAAAACGTATGTAAACCCTAAATGGATAACATTTAGTTATCTAAAGCAACGGGGGAGATTTACTAAAACTGGAGCACACAGAATCTGATGCAGCTGTACATGGTAACCAATCAGCTTCTAACTTCAACTTGTTCAATTAAAGTGTTACTAACCCTACAATAGTAAAATCAGTCTGTATATGCAGCAAAGCATGCTTGTTATACTAACTGTGGAACCTAAGGGGTTAATCATCTGCATTGTGTAAAAATGCTGCTTGATCTTGACTTCTCTGATCCCCCCCCTTCTTCTTTCAGTGCCCTCCTCTTATTTCCTGATAAGACATATTCTTCTACTGTCCCCAATCCATCTCCTAATATAACAGAGCCTTGGGGGCAAGCTGCACCTGCTCAATTTGGTGTGTATATTGCTAGAGAGTTTTTTTTTTTTCTTGGGAGGGTGCATGTGATCAGCACAGGGCCAATCAGCACTGTCCAGACAGAGGTCAGGGGTTCTGCATCCTTCTAGAGCAGAATGAAAACTCCTCCTACAAGCTTTAACAAGTGCTCTACTGGACACTGATCGAAGTCACAAGACTGCTCTAACTGCTGATGAGAAAAGATATTTAGCAGTTTATATTTGCTAAAATATTTGCTAAAATAATCTGGGGAGACCAGATATAGTGAATGCAGGGTCCGGGGAGACCAGATATAGTGAATGCAGGGTCCGGGGAGACCAGATATAGTGAATGCAGGGTCCGGGGAGACCAGATATAGTGAGTGCAGGGTCCGGGGAGACCAGATATAGTGAATACAGGGTCCGGGGAGACCAGATATAGTGAATGCAGGGTTCGGGGAGACCATATATAGCGAATGCAGGGTTCGGGGAGACCAGATATAGTGAATGCAGGGTCCGGGGAGACCAGATATAGCGAATGCAGGGTCCGGGGAGACCAGATATAGTGAATGCAGGGTCCGGGGAGACCAGATATAGTGAATGCAGGGTCCGGGGAGACCAGATATAGTGAATGCAGGGTCCGGGGAGACCAGATATAGTGAATGCAGGGTGCGGGGAGACCAGATATAGTGAATGCAGGGTCCTGAGTTTAGTGACACTTTAAGCTTTGACAATAACACCTGGAAGCTGCTTGGTTTCTATGTAGAGCTGCACCAGTTTCTGTGTGCACCCCACCCATTTTAGTAATTCCCCCATATAGAATTCTTATTTTTTAAAGGAATAAAATACGTTTTGATCCTTTGTTGCATCTCATTGCTGCCTGCAGCACTCTTGCTGCCACTTTAAGTCTTTGCACTCCTGTGACGGCTACTTGGCATTTACCAGGGTGGGTTTCCTAATGCTGACAGGAGTGGAACATGCTTGTGTAATGTGTGTTGAACCAACCACTGTTAGTTTCCATCGCAAACCTGTGCGACAACGTAGGAGCACCTATGGCGGTCAGCGACAGAGCAGTGTCACCCTGACAAGGTTGTGTTTGTACAAAGACTTTTATGGCAGGATCACTAGACATTATTTTTTTGGATGCTAAGATTTCAAAAATATTTAAAATGACTTTTGAAATGACATATACACATCAAACGTTTATAAGATTTTAATGATAGGATTTCATGTACTTTCAGATACTGATGATATTGTGATCACAAAATCCAACTTACAAACAATAATTCTACAGAAAAGCTGAGGAATAAACATTTAGCATTTCCATATTGGCCAGACATGCCAACTCAGGGATTTGGAGGGATGTCCACATACTTCTAGCTACATAGGTGGGATGACCAGGTGTCCACATATATTGAGCCATATGGTATCGTATTATCTGAAGACCAAAAGGAGGATGAGAGAAATCTCTTTTAAAGCCTAAGTTTAGTAAAAAAAAAAAAAGTGACTATAGTGAGACTATATCAGTGAGAAGTGTCCCTTGTGCTGCTGACTCCTGCTTTATCACATCAGCAATTACGATTTGTGAAAATGTTTACGTGCCGTGCTGACCAGTCCGGATCAATTTGGCCCATCCCAGCATCTCTAAGGATAAAAGGTCAAGAAGACGAAGCCAAATCCCCAGACTGCTGAATTGGCCACGTGAGCAGTGAAGCTAATCATCCACAGAGGTACTGGGGGGAGGGGGGTGAGGAGGATGTTTTAGGACGGTTTTAGTTCACATCTTTTGTGAAAAGGTGAACTTACACTTTAAGCACCGGTTAAACCACTTGGCCTCCAGAGGATTTACCCCCTTTCCTGACCAGGCAATTTTTTGTGATATGGCGCTGCATTACTTTACCTGACAATTAGAGATGAGCGAATTATTCAAAAATTAGATTCGGCTGATTCGCCGAATTTGCGGAAGAAATTCGATTCAATGCGAATTTATTCGCTGCGAATTTAACTTATTAAAAGGGTTTCTAGGCTTCAGAGAGCCTTTATATTAGTGCAGAACACTGTACCTTTAATTTAAATGCCCTTGGAGTCTGCTGGGGAAGAGAAATAATACTGTCAGTCAGTATGACATGCAGATGAGTGCCGTCGATCTTAGAATCACCGCACACTTCACTCATTTGGGCAGTCACGGGGCACGACGAAGAAGAAGAATGAAAAGAAGAAGAAGAAGAATGAAAAGAAGAATGAAAAGAAGAATGAGAAGAATGAAAAGAAGAATGAAAAGAAGAAGAAGAAGAATGAAAAAGAAAAAGAAGAAGAATGAAAAGAAGAATGAAAAGAAGAAGAAGAAGAATGAAAAGAAAAAGAAGAAGAATGAAAAGAAGAATGAAAAGAAGAAGAAGAAGAAGAAGAATGAATGAAAAGAAGAAGAAGAAGAATGAAAAGAAGAATGAAAAGAAGAAGAAGAAGAATGAAAAGAAGAAGAAGAAGAATGAAAAGAAGAATGAGAAGAAGAATGAGAAGAATGAAAAGAAGAATGAAAAGAAGAAGAAGCAGAATGAAAAGAAGAAGAAGAAGAATGAAAAGAAGAAGAAGAAGAAGAATGAAAAGAAGAATGAAAAGAAGAAGAAGAAGAATGAAAAGAAGAAGAAGAAGAAGAATGAAAAGAAGAATGAGAAGAAGAATGAAAAGAAGAAGAAGAGGAATGAAAAGAAGAAGAAGAAGAATGAAAAGAAGAAGAAGAAGAATGAAAAGAAGAATGAAAAGAAGAAGAAGAATGAAAAGAAGCAGAAGAAGAATGAAAAGAAGAAGAAGAAGAATGAAAAGAAGAATGAGAAGAAGAATGAAAAGAAGAATGAAAAGAAGAATGAGAAGAATGAAAAGAAGAATGAAAAGAAGAAGAAGAAGAATGAAAAGAAGAATGAAAAGAAGAAGAAGAAGAATGAAAAGAAGAAGAAGAAGAATGAAAAGAAGAATGAAAAGAAGAATGAGAAGAATGAAAAAGAATGAAAAGAAGAAGAAAAGAAGAAGAAGAAGAAGAATGAAAAGAAGAAGAAGAAGAATGAAAAGAAGAGAAGAAGAAGAATGAAAAGAAGAAGAAGAAGAATGAAAAGAAGAAGAAGAAGAAGAATGAAAAGAAGAAGAAGAAGAATGAAAAGAAGAAGAAGAATGAAAAGAAGAAGAAGAAGAAGAAGAATGAAAAGAAGAAGAAGAATGAAAAGAAGAAGAATTCCAGTACAGCAAAAAGTGTATCTGCAGAGAGCTCCGCTATTTCTGACAGTTCTCTGACAGTTCCTTCACATTTACAGCGGTTGAAACATTGTATCTATTTGTTTCCGAATAAAAACATCTGTATCCTAAATGGAAACAAATAGATACAATGTTTCAACCGCTGTAAATGTGAAGGAACTGTCAGAGAACTGTCAGAAATAGCGGAGCTCTCTGCAGGGACACTTTTTGCCGGCTGTAGAAGGGATGAAAATCGGCCGATCGGGAAAAATTCGATTCGCGCATCCGAAGTTTGCTAATATTCGGATTCGGTGCAAATCGAATTTTTCTAATATTCGAAACGAATTCCACTTCGCCAAGTTCGATTCGCTCATCTCTACTGACAATTGCACGGTCATGCAACATTGCACATAAATGAAATTTATGTCCTTTTTTCCCACAAATAGAGCTTTCTTTTGGTGGTATTTGATCACCTGTGTGTGTTTTTTTTAAACCAAAAAAAAATCCGACAATTTTGAAAAAAAAAAACAAATATTTTTTACTTTTTGCTATTAAACATGTCCAATAAAAAAAATTTTAAAAAATCAACTTTCGTCATAAATTTAGGCTAAAGTGTATTCTGCTACATGTCTCTGCTAAAAAAAATCCCAATACGTGTAAAATATTTGGTTTATGTGAAAATTATAGCATCTACAAATGACGATTTATATACTGGAATTTTTATGTTTATTTTTTGTTTACTAGTAATGGCGGTGATCAGCGACTTTTTGCGGGACTGCGGGACAGAGGCGGACATTCTGACACGGGGTGAGAACTGACTAACTGCCACTGACATCCCCAGTGACACTAATACAGTGATCAGTGCTAATAAAAAGCACTGACACTGTACTAATGACACTGGGCAGGAAGGGTTAACTTTTGGGTTGATCAAAGGGTTAACTGTGTGCTGTGTGCTGTTTTACAACAGAGACATGCTGCTTTGTATTTCTCTGCTGTGCATTTTCCTCCACTTCCTATCCCAAAGCCAAAACAGGAAGTGAGAGGAAATCCCTACAGATTAAATGAATATCTTGTCCTTAAATACCTGACATGCCTGTTACACTACTTATTTAACTCATTCATTTCATTATTTATTTCCTTTCGTGAATAAACGTTAATGCTGTTCTATGCTGTATTTACTGAGCGTTTGGGGAATTTCAAGGGATATCCCACATAAGGTGATAGTGAATCGACATTTTAGCATCACATGTGATATTTATGAAAAATGTCTCAGATCATCTAAGTACCACGTGCTTTAGTGAACAGAGCCCAGAATGAGATAACTACGCTACGTATGATGCATACATGAGAACATAAAGGGCTTTATTTACTAAAGACAAATAGACTGTGCACTTTGCAAGTGCAGTTGCACTCATTTTCTCCAGAGCTTTGAGAATGTGGTGAAGCTTCACTTCATAAAGAATACCTAATCAGGTGCAAGGAAAATAAAAAAAACAGCATTTTTGCTTGCACATGATTGGATAATGGAAACCAGCAGAACTTCACCACATTCACAAATCTCTGGGGAAAATAAGTGCAACTGAACCTGCAAAGTGCACAGTCTATTTGCCTTTTGTAAATCAACCCCAAAATCTACTGAAAAGGTGTTGGGATTTACATGTTTGTGCTATTTGACACTTTAAGTAAAACTACACTGCACCTCAAAACAAAAACACTATTTCATTAATATTTAATATTCACAACAAATTTACCCAAAATCACCAAACAAAGCCCTAGAATTTCTGGCCAAACCCATCTTGAGTAAAGGCAGATGATTCATGTAGCATTTACTTCCTGGAATCCATCTGCCCCTAGCTTAGGAATGCAGGTAAGAGGGTGTGCTTAGCTGAGAAAACCCCTTTTCCCCTCCTGAAGACTCCTGGGATGTATAATATAATTTGCCTAGGCCTGGAAACCAGAAATTAACTGAAGAAATGTAGAATAAAAAGTTTAAATCAATAAATATAATATACTTTCCTATCTATTTACTAAAGCTGATAGCATAAGGATTAAAAACAGTCAATGTTGATTGAGAGAGTGATGTTCCACTTTAATATGCATGCACTTAACCTGAGAAAATAAAAGCTTAGGTTGGCTCACTTTATGTTTTGTTTAAAGTTTAGAGTTAGGGTTAGGTTAGGTGTTACATTTATAGGTTTGGATAAGGTGAATGACTAGGCTGAGGTTTAGGGTTGGGCTTCAAAGTTAGGTTAAATGGTAAGTCCAAATTTGCAGAGAAAAAAATAGCAAATTAAAAAAAGAATGTAATATAGTATCTAAAATTGTTGCACAAGTCATATTGTAATTGAATGTTAATAAAAATTACCTTTTGTTTTCAATCTACAGCTCTGTGATTTTCTGTAAAATGCAATGCAATATGGCAACCCGAAGGCCTTCCGT